GTCAATTTAGCAATGTACTGAAATGCACATTAATTTATTATTCTTTTGTGTAAAATGCCAATTCATAACTGCACTGACTCAAGAATCCTCCTATTCATTGGTGTCTAATACAACAAGTCAGATTATAAAATTAATTTCATCAGGATAACATGCTTCCCGTATATAATTATTTGATAATATCAAAATCCATTGCCTCTACAGCCTGCTCCAAATTATTTGGTTATTCATTCATTCATTAATGCTAGATCAGTATCTCAACTCAAGGTATCAAATTAACACTTCACTGAAGGGGGGGGGAGAGAAACCAAATCAGTATTTCTCCCTTTATTGGTTTCCATATTACAATGTTAAAAAAAGAAAGTTATCTACAACTTTGCAAATCCTCTTAACCTCATTAAAAATTGTTCGGAATGTTTGTTTTTAATATATTGCTTTCAACTACCGGTAACTTCCTTTAGAGTTCTTTTCTATTCTGCCATATGCCTTCCAGAGTCCGCAGATTTGAGTGGGTTTCAAAAACTGCAAAATAACATGCAAATCTGATGAGGAAAGCTAACCTGCATTGTTCAGTAAATCAACAAAAATGAGGTTTTGCTATTTGACTGTAGTTTTACCATGTCCTAGTTCCCTTCCTCAGTCATAAGGCTGAACTTAAACTCACAGAAAATCTAGACAGCATACTAAAAAACAGAGACATCACCCTGCCAACAAAAGTACGTATAGTCAAGGCCATGGTTTTCCCAGTTGCAATGTATGGCTGTGAAAGTTGGACCATAAGAAAGGCTGAGTGCAAAAGAATGGAGGCCTTTGAACTATGGTGCTGGAGAAGACTCCTGCGAGTCCCTTGGACTGCAAGGCATTCAAACCGGTCAGTCCTAGAAGAGATCAACCCCGACTGCTCTTTAGAAGGCCAGATCCTGAAGTTGAAACTCAAGTACTTTGGCCACCTAATGAGAAGGAAGGACTCATTGGAGAAGAGCCTAATGCTGAGAAAGATGGAGGGCAATAGAAGAAGGGGAGGACAGAGAATGAGGTGGCTGGATGGAGTCACTGAAGCAGGAGGCGTGAGCTGAAACTGACTCCAGAAGATGGTAGAGGACAGGAAGGCCCAGAGGAACGTTGTCCATGGGGTCGCGATGGGTCGGACATGACTTCGCAACGAACAACAACAACAACAAACTCACAGACATGGTGTCAAGCTTTCAAAGAAACCTCATGATGCTTCGGCCATTTCTGTTTCTCGGCTTGCCTACAGATCCAAGGGGGAGAGGGGGATGATGGAATGTGCATTTGCAGGTGTGAATCAAGGTCTGGGAATCAAGACCACTCAGATTATTTATGAAGCAATGAAAGACTTCTCTCATAACAATTGTCTGATGCTTCATTGGGGAACGTGACTTGCATTGTCAGGGGGAAGGGGAGTTTCTATACTTTTAATTTATTGTTCTGGTGCCAATTTAGCCAGAGCTGGTTTTCTATTCATGAGAGCCGATATAGTGTGCTCAATAAAGTTTTGCATTAGAGATTGGAATATCTCAGCTATGCTTACTTCATTGGACTCATCAGTTGGAACCTTGACACACGGTTAAAACCCATAAAACTCACATTCACTCTGTAATTGGAGTAGGAGCCATTTAGAGCAACAGTCACCTCATAACTTGGCTGTGTTTGGATGTACTCTCTTTTTTCTCTCTGTAGTTATCAGATAGTTTGATCTTTTGGACACCAATAACATAAAATAACAGAATTGAAGGGAAGATTTCAGTAAAGGGTCCAAAACATCTCACTTTCAAACACTCTCCTCGATCAGAAATTATCTTTTTAGTTGCAACAACAAGATGAGAGAGAGGAAAGGTTAATCTTCTCCAATTTGGTATTTATCCATGTTTTTTTTAAAAAAGGTAAAGGAGTCCCTGCAGGTTTTATTCTGCTAGAGGCGTGGTGGCCTAGTGGTGAAGATGCTCGCCTCCCACTTAGAAGGTTGAGACTTCAATCCTAGGTATTGCCAGATGTTTCTTTCTCAGGGCACAAAGATAAAATATCTGCTGTGAACTTCATGTAGGTGTCAGGAAGGGCATCTCCACCCAGTCTCCCCAACTCCACCCAGAAGTAAAAAGAAAAAAAAATCATGGCCTACTTTAGGGGGTGGTGGTCATCTCCATCCCCCCCATAAGTAACTAGTTACAGTTTGGGTTGCAAATTCCAAGTCATGATAAGTCCCACCTTTGCTTCAATCTTGGGTTCTAGGTAGGATAAACAGGAAAGAAATCAGAGAGAATTTAAATTCTTTGGGTTAAGACTGCAATTTTTTTTATACATATACATAGTGATCTTCTTTCATTAAACGCTTGATTGGTGGTTCACCAATCATCAATACACATTTCTCTTGGCTAGTTTTAAATGCTACTTGTAAATCATCCTGGAAAAAGTTTTACATTTTAAAGAAAAAGTTCTCTCTCTTTTTTTCATTTATTTGTATTCATTCAATCTTAGTTTTCTCTGCGGTGATCAGTTTCTAACAAAAGCTTCTGCAAAGCTGCAATTTATCGTGCATTCAGCACTCCAGAAAAAACAAAAACAAAAAAACAACCACCGGTATTTGATTTTCTGCGACACTTGTATAGAATGTTAACTTAAATAATGGTCTCCCAATAAATCTATTCAGTATTCAGTGTCAATTTTTTTTAAAGATGCCGACAAACAAACGTGATAGAAATCAGCTAGGAAAACAAACAAAAAAAATCCTCTTTTAAGAAACACATTTCAATGTTTTCTCAAAACAGAAGATGAGATACAAAAATCTCTTTCAAGTAGTGAGTGTAGATCAAAGAGAATTTTTGCACCTTCTTTTAGTGGAAAAATATCATGCCAAAAGCATATCAATATTATAGCACTATATGTATTCACAATTTTTTTATTTTTGCCTGCCAGGATCTTCTGAAACAATGTATTGCTTGAACCAGTGATGTAAAAATCAACATTACAAAATAATCAAGACAGAATTGTATTCAAATTCATTGAAATCTCCATTTCCTTTGAGAACATGATAAAGATTGAATCAGCCTGACCCTCCATGGGATACTATGACTAGGAAAGTCCTAATCCTAACGTAAGAAGCCTTGAGGACTAGTAAAGAACATAGAATCATGAGGCTGGAAAGGACCTCAGAGGTAATAATAATAATAATAATAATAATAATAATAATAATAATAATAATAATAATAATAATAATAATAATAATAATAATAATAATAATAATGATAAAGTTGGAAGGGACCTTGGAGGTCATCTAGTCCAACCCCCTGCTCAGGCAGGAAACCCTATACCATTTCGGACAAATGGCTGTCAAGTTTCTTCTTAAAAACTTCCAGTGTTGGCCCGTTCACCGCTTCTGGAGGCAGGTTGTTCACCGCTTCTGGAGGCAGGTCTTCTAGTCCAGCCTCTTACTCAATTCAGGAAGCCTTATACCAGTGGTGGCGAACCTATGGCACGGGTGCCAGAGGCGGCACTCAGAGCCCTCTCTTGGGCACACGCGCTGTCACCCCAGTCCTAGGCCTTCAGCTGGGTTTTATAAAACCTTTTCGCTTTAGGCCTCCGCCGCGGTGTGCAAAGAAAAAAAAAAGGTTCAATCAATCAATTTCAACTTCTCACAGGGAAAAAAAAGATCTTACAAAGTTGGAATTGATTGAACTTTTTAGTCCCACCCAGTCTGCTGTTACCACTGCAGCCACACCCACCCAATGGGCCACACCCACCCGGCACCCGAAGATGCATAAGTGGGTTTTGGGTTGCAGTTTGGGCACTCGGTCTCTAAAAGGTTCGCCATCACTGCCTTATACCATCCCAGTCAAATGGTTATCCAGTCTATTTTTTAAACCCTCCAGTGATGGAGCACCCATAACTCCAGGAGACAGGCTGTTCCACTGAAGTAAGCACAGTAAGCACATTAGGACTTTTGTAAGCAGGCTGTAGAAGTTCTTGTGAAATTTCAAGCATGGAGATGGGTTGCCCATTTTCAAAAATGAGTGGTAGGGTGAATGAACTTTTGTCAGGAGGGAAACTACTAAAGCTGATCCCTGCCAGCTTCTTGAGCTCTGAGGTTTAACTTTGCCATCCCAGCTTCCATTTCCATTTTTCTAGATAGATGTCCACACTTCCCAACAAAGTCCTGAGCTGCAGCACTGTCTAAAAATGCATATAGACTATCAAAGGCTGTAACAGCATTCTTGCATATAAAGTTAGCCCTAGAGGCTGGCAATTTTTAGCATAAAAATGGAATCAAGTGCTCAGTATGATTTAGGAATAGAAAGCAATTTCCATAGGTGGTCATGTAAAGTATAGTGGTATCTTGGTTTCTCAATTGGTTTGAAAATCATCAAATGTGGTATAGAATAAAATAGAGCAGAGTAGAGTAGAGTAGAGTAGAGTAGAGCAGAGTAGAGCAGAGCAGAGCAGAGCAGAGTAGAGTAGAGCAGAGTAGAGCAGAGTAGAGCAGAGTAATGGAATAGAATAGAATTATGGAATAGAATAGGGTAGGATAGGATAGGATAGGATAGGAGCTGGAAGGGAACTTTGAGGTCTTCTACTCCAGCCCTCTGCTCAAGCAGGAGAACCTATACCATCTCAGACAAGTGATTGTCTAGCCTCTTCTTAAAAACCTCCAGTGATGGGAGCGCCCATGATTTCTGGGGGTAAGCTGTTCCACTAGTTAATTGTCCTCACTGTTAGGAAGTTTCTCCTTAATTCCAGGTTGCTTCTCTCTTCGGTTAGTTTCCAATGCATTTCCACTCAATGCATTTCCACACTTGTCAGTGTTGGCTGCCTTGTGACTTACTACATTATTCCTTATGGGAAATATTTGTTTGGTATTCATCATTTTTGGTACTCATTGCTCCTCCCAGAAACAATTAATGATGAGTACCAAGGTACCACTGTACAGGAAGAAAAGCTACGGGGTGAATGTGCATATGCTACTTGTCACAATAGATGGTTCAACGTACCTTGAGTGGATTCATCAACTCCTTTTCCTTTTCGGCTATGGCTGTTGTAGTTGAGTCTGAGATCTTGTCCAAATTCATTCAGGGTTTCTCTCGACTCGTAGGACTGTCTTGCTTTTCTCCCATCTTCACTTTCATCTGAAGAGCTCGTATAAGCTAGATCCATTTCATGCTTAGCTTTGGATAGAGGCTGGTAAGGTTTACAGTCCATCTGCTCCATTTTTGATTCAGCAAGTGCAGGGTCATGAAAACAACGGAGTAAGGCTTCTTAAAGCTGTGCACCTGGAAGAGGCAAAAACAGTGTAACTCTCAAGTGATTTTTATTTACTTAACTCAATTCCAAGTTTGTCCAACTCCTCAATGACTATGGGCAGCTTACAATTAAAAATTGACATATTCAGAAATCCTATATGGAATATATCATGACCAAAAAAAATAACTTTCCCAATAAAAAAAAATAGTTGCACTCTGCAACTATCTTTTCCCAAGGCTTGGCAGAACCAATGGTGTAAGTTTCCATTATTTTTCTAATGTTAAACGATAAATGATTTGTCTTGTCCATTCAGCTAAAGAAAATATAAGAAGATAACAGAGTTCATGGGTAGAAATACATGTAGATTTTAATTACCGCTATTAGGAAAAAAACAATGTCGGTAAGACATCATCCAGTACAAAATGACTAAAATGAATTAATCTTATATCAAAACAGTAACGGTCCACTTTGGTATCCATTTTAAGCTTCATAAACCATGTTTGATGGAACCAGAAAAGAGTTTCTATAGCAGTGTTTGTATCCTCAGAGTAATTTATGGGGCATCGGTCAGGCGTGAAGAATCAGGACAATTTGTAAGGTTTCAGCATAGAAGATTTATTCAAGCCTATACAGAAGAATCTGATCAACTAAAGTTCCATACTAATTTGGTGCCAGATAAGGGTCAATGGAATTCAGGAGGGGTTGGCCTTGGAGCACTTGTGGGAACGCAATGTTTCTAAGCTGATGACTCGCTTAACTCCACCCTACCTCATCTCTGCCTGAACTTCTCCTATAGCATCAAGTTCATTTTGAAACTGGGGGAAGAGATTGGGTCCTATGCATTGAAAAAAAATACATATTCCCATTTTACAAATAGGCATACTTGTAGTACTTAGTACATTAAAAAGATAACTCACATCAAGTAACATAATCTCTCTCTCTCTCTCTCTCTCTCTCTCTCTCTCTCTCTCTCTCTCTCTCTCT